CGGAGCTGGTGGCGCCTCCGCCGGATCGGCTGCTGTGCTCTGCCCGCTTTCTTCCGAGTCCGAAGTGTGGATGTCCGCAGGGCTGCCTACCTGCTCTAACATCCCACCTTCGTCGCCAATTGTTAGATCGCGCTAACAAAGGACTCGTACAGTGATTCAGCAAGTGATTCAGCTTTATTGGAAGTAACGAGCAAGCACTAACTCAGTAAGAAACCAGAACAGAAAACAGTGGGAGCTTATGCTCCTTTTAAACATAACCGGGCTAATGTAGCCACGCCTATTTACAAATAACAACCAATGAGATTGCTAGAATAAAGACCAATGGGAGTCTTTCCCTCCTAGGGAATGGTATTGTTCTGATTGGTCGCTGTTACGAAGCGACCAATAGGAAGTTCGCTCAGAGGAGCCCTGGTCTGGCTCGAAGCTTAACAGGGGAGTCCTATGAGGTGATTCATGTAATCATTTCAATACATTACAGAATCTTTACTAGATCCAAATATTATCATTCAAATATTATATCTTGTAATCAGCTTACTGATTGAATGGTTTTATCGTACTTGTAAACCACCTTGAGTTCCTGTAAGAAAGGTATACTATAAATGAAAATCGAGAAATAAACTGCACAACTACTGTCTCAATTTCCCTGCTCAAGATTTTCCCCATAAGGTTTTCCTTTGTGATATTTCAAATACATGTAAGAACATAAGAACATAAGAGACGCCATGTTGGATTAGGCCAGTGGCCCATCCAGTCCAACACTTTGTGTTGCACAATGGCCAAAACCCATGTGGCATCAGGAAGTCCACCAGCAGGGCCAGAGCTCCAGAAGTCCTTCCACTGCTACCCCCCCCCCAAGCAACCAGGGATACCGAGCATCACTGCCCCAGTCAGTGTTCCATCTATACCTTTTGGCTAAGAGCCACTGATGGACCTATCCTCTTGATCAGTAGTTAGCCCCAGAAGATCATAATCCTTAGGAAATATGCTAATATTATGTTAACCAAATACTCTTAGAAATAGGAGGCCTTTCCATGAATATGCTAAAAACTTTTTTTCTTACCTAAAGAGGAATTGTGACAGAGCTTTATATCATAGCACTCAAATCCTTCCTTAGCTCTCCAGCCATAGTTCCCACCTTTAACAATAATGTCCACTTCTTCAAACTTGTTCTGTCCAACATCACCACAGAATATTCTTCCCCTTCCTTTATGAGTAACCGGATTGCCTCTATCCACAGAGCAACGCCACATGTTCCTCACCCCATAGGCATAGACTTCTGGGAGAGCTTTGGGGTCAGAAACAAATGGGTTGTCAAGAGGGATGCGGTAAGGCTTCCCATTGGAACCTCTTCCATCCACGTCTATCCGCAAAACTTTTCCTAAGAAACTACTCCTGAAAGGAAATAAATCAATCATTAGTGAAAATGAAATAGAAACAGAATATATATAAATGCAAATGGTAGAATAGATATATAGATCAAAAGGAGAGGGAATTGGTTGTTTATCCAGTAATCTCTAGGAACTGTGACTGAAATAAAAATTCAATTTTCTCAAAAGAGAAAAAAACCCTCAAGCTGTAATTCAATAAGAATGAGATGTAAGTATCGGATGTTGTCAGTATCCACTTATTTGCTGTAATTTTAAAATTCTGTAACCATGATTGTGTTTATGTATGCATAATCCCTCGTTGATTTTTATTAACGTCTATGGTTTGTTGACAAACAATCCACTTTGCCTGAAGGCTTTCTAACGGTTCTTTGGAAAATCAATGCATTCCTATAATAATTAGGAAGGAAGCAAATAATGCCAATAGTCACATAACACATGGAACTGATTTCTACTGAATCTGAACATTGGTCCATCAAGGTCAGTATTGTCTTCTCAGACTGGCAGCAGATCTCTAGGGGCCCCAGCAGAGGTCTTCCACATCACCTACTGCCTGATCCTTTTAACTGGAGATGTCAGAGATTGAACCTGCGACCCTTCTGCATGCCAAGCAGATGCTCTACCTTCTGCATGCCAAGTCACAGCATCTCTTCAGTCATTCTCTATCATTTACTTTATCAAAAATGTTTCAGTAAATCTCAAAAATCTAGAGGGGGGGGGTTTAGGCAAGTTTTCTATTGCTCAGGATCCGGTGCTAGTACCTTACAGTTTTGTGCCAATTGTTCTACTAAGCTACACCCTTCCACCTGATCAGAAGTATGCAAGGGGGCTACTGTAATGCTATGTTTCCCAGGGCTAGAGTTTCAGCCCTTTCTACTCTCTGGTGTCCTAGTTTCTTCCAGTGGGGAGCTTTGAAAAAGGTGGTTCCCCCCACCTGACAAGGCACACTCCATTCTGCCACCTTATTTCTGTCTCATTCTGTTGGTCATGTACATATGCACATCTACCTTATACTGAAGCACACCATCTGTCCATCAAAGTCAGTATTGTCTACTCAGATCGGCAGCGGCTCTCCTGGGTCTCCAGCAGAGGTCTTCCACATCACCTACTGCCTGATCCTTTTAACTGGAGATGTCAGAGATTGAACCTGCGACCCTTCTGCATGCCAAGCAGATGCTCTACCTTCTACATGCCAAGTCACAGCATCTCTTCAGTCATTCTCTATCATTTACTTTATCAAAAATGTTTCAGCAAATCTCAAAAATCTAGAGGGGGGGTTAGGCAAGTTTTCTATCGGTCAGGATCCGGTGTTAGTACCGTACAGTTTTGTGCCAATTGTCCTACTAAGCTACACCCTTCCACCTGATCAGAAGTATGCAAGGGGGCTACTGTAATGCTATGTTTCCCAGGGCTATTTTAGCCTCTCAGTTTATCTCTGGTGAGTGTGTTCAGAGGATCTGCTCCAGTGTATTAATATGATTTAGTTATTTAATTATTTATTTTAAGATTTCTATTCCGCCAGTTTGTTGAATGCTATTCAAGGCAACTTACATTAACAATGAACACGCTAATACAGATATCAAATATCAAATAATCCAAACAAAAATACCTCACACAGGAATCAATAAAACAAACATTATTATTAAAATATATAATTTGGTTTTAAAGGTAAGCATAGCTTCCTCTTATATTTAACGAGTGTATTTATATTAAACGAGTGCATGTGCCTGTTCTCCAGCTTACTTGTTCTGAGCATTTCCAAATTTCCCAAAAGGGTCCCCAGCTTTCCCTCCATCCCCTGTGAACAGGTACATATATCCATCCAGACCAAAGAGGACCTGTCCCCCATTATGATTTGCAGCTGGCTCTTCAATCTCCAAGAGGTTTCTGGAAAGCAAAAGGACAGAGTTAAGAAAAGGGGGGGGGAGGTAGTAGCAATATCTGGATGAAGCCCAAGGCCTTACTAGGTTACAAAAACATACTACTTATTCAATCACTTCGAGGAACATCTTTGGAACAATTTGCTTGATGTTTCCACAGTGTAAGTTTTTGTAGATTAAGCGGGAAGGAGTTTAACATTCCTTCACTACAACACCATTTTACAAATATGTCATTGGTCCTTCAGTTTGCCCTTTCAGGAGATAAGCTGTTTCAGAATGTTGTCTCTATCAGCATGTATATGCCAGTGTCTGGGAGTGGCCCTCTGAAGACTGCCTTTGGTCAATGTACAAGTCTTATGTGGTTGAACTACTGCTCCACACAAACGCAGTACCATACCCAGAATTAGAAGAGCCAGAGCACTGTACAATAGCTGGTGCTACAGAATCCTTGTTCTCTTTACTTTAAAGCCTGCCTAAAGACTACTTACGCCCATTTATTTCTACAAGGGAACCTTTACCTTTACTAAAGACTACTTATGCCCGTTTATTTCTGTATTTAATTTATGGTGTTGATTTTCACCCAGAAAGCTCTTTAGGATTTGAGACCCAAATACACGAAGTACCACCTGGCCCCATATGAGCCTGCATACCAGCTCAGCAGCTCCTCTTTCTAGGCCGGTTTATTCAGAGATGGCAAGCCTTCTCAGGGCCTAACTACACAGACACATGTTTTCTCTAGAGGTATCCCTGGGTTGGGCTGAGTTCCATGCATGGAGTTCCATGCTGCCAAGGTGCACATGGTTCTGATTCAGTTTGAGACTGTGGTCACAGGGAGAGGGAACACCTGAACGGGCCTGGGGGGGCACTGTTTGCCCCTTTGGCGAAACATAACATGTATCAATAAATGCAGAGCCACCAACAAGGTTGTTGTAGGTTGGGAAAGTATCATGGGGGAAGGTTTAAGCCCTGCCTGCCTGGACGCCATGGTCCCAGTTTAAACTGGATCATGTGCACCTGGAAAATATGCCACGCCAGTAGGCGTTGCTTGACTCACCCCAGGGAATGTCCCCAAGTAAGCATAATGCCTAATTAGGCCCTCAGTTGATGCTCCCATTTTGTGCATAGAGCCCCCTCTTTGATTACATCTCACAAACAGACTCCAGTGGATCCAAGCCATTGTTTGTTCAAGGTCTTTTTTTGTTGTGCTGTGTTTCTATTGGTGTAATGCCATGTTCTGCATTGTTTAACATGTCATGTTTAATATTGGTTGTTTTCAGATGACAGCTCCGTTGCCAATTTCTGAAATTCCTAGTCTTATTACAAGGCTTATTAGATGGCTCATCCTGTGGATTGCATTGGTTTACATTGTATTATTTGCCTTGAATCTCAGGCAGAATATAAATAATGTAAATAAAGTTGGCTCTGGGGGACATGTGTTCAAAGTTCTGTCGGAGAATCATACTGTGGCCCTGGACAGGTCAGCAGCGCCCTGACCTCAGTTCTCTCTCTATTGTGTTTCTCTTCCCTTGCCTAGCAGTAGCAAATGTGCTTCTTTTATAGTAATCTGCAGTTATACTATGCAAACGTGCTTTTTATATACAGATCAGAGAATACAGTGTTTCCTGAAGCCTAAGTAGGATTTATTTATTTCTGTGAGGATACATCAGTCCTCTATTACTATTTTTTAGCCTAAGCCATCTCACAGGGTTATAAGCACAAAATGAGAGAACCCTTTGGTTAGCTGCTAAGAATTTGTATTCCACAAAAAAAGACATCTACATTTTTAAAAAGAACATATATATTACCTTTCTGAATTGGGATCAGCCTTGTTGACATCTGACGGCGAGACTGTTAGTTCACTAATTCGGATCTTTTCCACTTTTTTCTTGTCCAAGTAGGAGTAGTAAATGTAGAATTTCCCATTGTGTTTGTACTTAGGGTGGAAGGCCATACCAAGGAAGCCTCTCTCATCTCCTATCCAGGGGGTAGCTAGAACCAACTTCTTAATATCCAGAAATGGCTCTTCCAGTCGACTCCCATCTGGAAGATAGACCCAAACAATGCCCACTTGCTCAGCCACAAACATGCGATAAGTGTTGTCATTAGCATGCACCATCAGGACTGGATTCCTCAGCCCATTGGCCACTTCTCTGAGGCACAGCTGAAGGCAGCCTTTTTTGTCCTCCACCACAGAGCCTAGATTATGATTAAGGTCTGTGTTTTTCAGCACATTGGGGAAGCAATAGTCTTGATCCTGGATGTTCAGGAGATTGCAGAAGCGGGTTTTATTCTTCTCGCAGCATTCTTGGATGTGTTTGTCATTAGTCAGCAAAGTGATTGCAGAACGGCAGTATAAGTGGAACTCTGAACAGTAGTCAAAGCAAAGGCCGGGGAGGTTCCGAAGTGGTGTCTGAGGGTTCTCTGCATCATAAAGATGCGCTGCATATGGTGAGCATTCCTATCAAGGAGACAATAATTCTGTGAGTTCTGACAGAGCTGTGCACCTGAAATGCATGCTGTGCCTGCTACTACACCTCTGACATACCTGCCCAACCTATGAATTTGGAAACAGATTATTACACACCTGAAATATCCAGTGCTTCATGCCCTGCAAGAATCTGACTGTCTCTTGAATTTTGCACTGCTCTTGTAACACTCAAAGTGAAATAATGCACGCAAACACAAACAGGACTTAAAGAAACTGAAAAGCGATTGGTTACATTTGGGGCAGAGTTAATTTTAACTAGGTTGCTTTGAAAACATTATTTACCAACAAGCAAGTAAAAAGTGGGACTGATACACAGTAAAATGACACACAAACACATCCTCTTTAAAATGCTCTGCAGTTCAAAAGTCTATACAAGCCAGAACATGTTGCCAAGCCCTTTATCACATGCAGTGGGTCATTTTCCCAGCTGGAGGAAATTCTAGAATACAGACTAGGATGATGAGCAGAATATTAAACTGTAGAAGATACTGAGAAAAGACATGTGTGAATGCTGCCAATTTTTTCTAGCAGGGTTCCTGTGCCTTGAACCATTCCATGGTGATCGACACACACCCAACAGAGGGAAGGTTTTCTGCCATGGGTATAAAGTGATGGGGAAAGAGGGTCTCACTTGTTGCATTTCTACCATTGTGAAATTATTAAAGGCCTGGGAACATGTAAGAAAGTGGTTGGGAACTCTATTCCAGGGTTGTAGGAGAAGGCACTCAGGTTGTTAACAGCCTGGAGGGAAAAAACGCCCTGTCCTTTCAACAGAGGTTTAATGAGATGTTATTTCCCAGGGGATCTCATCCTCCTCTATGCTATGAAGAGTTTTGGCTGGCCCTCCACGCAGTGAACTTCTGTTAAAGGGACATTCTTCTCCAGGCCTGTCGGCAACCCTAGCAAAGCACAAATTATTATGTGATAAAGTTTGGCACAGAAGCCTCAATTATAAAGTTACAGTGTTAATTTCTCAGACCTCAGTATGGTGTTTAGGGGTCCAGCTGAACAAAAGGTTCCTTCTCGGGGAGGAAACAGATTTCCTTCCCCCACCATTTTCTTTGGATCTACACTCTCTCTTAAAATCCTGAATTTGCCCAGGCATTGTCTGTGCTTCAAAGAATGCAAACCACGTCTGTTGTGGCTAAATATCTGAGGTGAAGACATTCCTCAGGGCCTACATAACCCTTCTACAATTAAGAGGTCTTGCAGTAAAGGCTGTTCTGTCTGTTTCGTGTCTCTCATCTGTGTGAAGTTGCTAGCGATTGTTCCTTTGGGTAGTGAAGGGCAGGGTATAAATCCCATCTCCTCCCCCAAATTCTAATTCACAGGATTGATGAAATATGAACTCTGATGCCAATTGCATTTGTCATTTTATCATAATTTCCTCTGTCCATCTGTCTGTTTAGTGCTTGGTCAGAACCCCAGGGAATACAATAAATTCCAATAAACCAGTCAAGTACATAAGTAAATAAATACTGAGGTTTTAGTAAAATGCTCCTTTAAAGTTGATTGACTAATTAATGTAAATGAAAATGTTTACTCAACTAAAATTTATCCAGTGACAGCAGATGGTAGACTTTGGCCTCTATCCAACCAACGGCAACTTTACAAAGCGGGACCTTCCCACTTCTCCCACTGTTAAAGGTAAAGGTTTCCCTTGCTCAAAACCCAGTCAAATCTGACTCTAGGGGGCGGTGCTCATCTCTGTTTCCAAGCCAAAGAGCCAGCGCTGTCCAAAGACTTTCCATGGTCATGTGGCCAGCATGACTAAACATCGAACTGCACAGAACACTGTTCCCACCAAAGCGGTACCTATTTATCTGTTTGCAGTTACTTGCTTTCAAACTGTTAGGTTGGTGGGAGCTGGGGCCAGAGATGGGAGCTCACTCCATTACGTGACTTGAACTAGGGTCTTGAACTGACTAGGGTCTTGAACTAGGGTCTTGAACTGACAAGCTACCGACAGCCCCATAGCTAAGGAGTTTTGGGGGAGGGGGCCTGGGGGGGGCCACCAGGCAATTAAATCAAAGTTAATTAAATTAACTTTGATTTAATTGGTGGAACTCCTAAGGCAGCCCTGCACACACACCTAGGCTCCAGGGTAATGCCCAGTGGCCGCAGCTTCCCTCCCCACCCCCCTGCAAGGGCAGATCAGTCCCCTGTGTAACTCATAGCCCTACTAACAAGAGAACTGGCGCTGAAATGGGCGACCGTGGTGCGTGCTTCAGAGAAATCCAGAGAGTGAGGATTCCACCCCCTCGGCTCCCCGGCACCAGCCGTCAGCCTCGTGCTCCCGCAGTTCCTCCCAGAGCCTTCCCGACAGCCGCGCCCGCTTCTAGGCGCTCTTCCCCTGGGGCGGGCAGCCTCGCAGGCTGGCTGGCTCTCCGTCCTTCCCTCCCTCGCTCAGTGGGTCATCGCTCCTCGGACCAGCTGTGGGGCTCTCCAGGGCATGGGTGGGCTGGCAAGCAGTGGAGCGCCCTTAAGCTGAGGAGCCACTTCGGGGAGCTGCAGGATGAGCCCCACTCTGCGGAGCAACGAAGACACACCGAGGAAAGTGGGCACCAGCACCAGGAATGAGGAAGGCAGGCACCCAGGAGCAGTAGCAGGCAGTGCGAAGTCACCGGCTACTAGGCTGAGGGCAGAAACAGGGGAGAGCCGAGGATTGGGGAGGGGCCTGTAAAGACCATGGGAGGGCGAGCCCCATGGGTCCCGCGGTAGCTACGGGCCTGGCTACTGACCTTCTGGTCTGCAATTCATCATCTTAACCTCTGAGCCACTGCAGCCCCTTCTCCCTCTGTTGCAGCCCCCCAAAATGTTGTTCTTAGGGACCAGCAAACTCTCAGGAACAGCACTGGAGATAACATGGAAGTCTACCGGGGGGGGGGGGGATCAGCAGAAATCACTGCCTTCTTCCACAAATGGAAATTCCATTTCCATTAGAAAAAGAGACTCATATGCAGTGTGTGGTTGGATATACACGTGCCTCTATTTTTATTGTGCATTGGGCAGCACTTTAACATATAAACTGCCATACAGTTTTTAGCTTCTGGAACGATTTATGATTCACATAGCATTTTTGGTTTCTAAAATGTCATGGCTTTTACCCAAAAATGTATCACACAAAAACTAATGTTTGCAGTATTTTTTTTAACTATCTGGCATATTAAACATGATCAAGACAAGCCGTCATCAGAACTGACCACAATGCAAAGGAGCCGGCAACCCACAAGCTTATTCACTGTTCCTAGAATTGCATTAGTTTCTCCATTCAGCTGTTTTTAAACATTTGTTTTAAGTATCTTCCAGAGTTTTTTCCTGTGTGTGTGTGTTTTTTATATGGACCCACACTAAGAATTTTGGGCATCCTTGCCTGAAAATAGTGTGTTTTTTCCCCTTGGAAATGGTTCCTTTTTGACTTTACAATCATAGCAGTGTTTCTCCTGAAAGGGGATTCAGTACACACAGATAATATTTGAGGACTAAGGAAATTTGGCTGGAAGAATATTAAGTGTTTGACTGGTGTGTGTTTTGGACACTTTGTGCTGGCAGCTGGTGAACCACGACCTGCATGACTAACACAGCGTCACTAAAAGGACAGCCACTTCTGCCCATAAATCTGTGGATAGGCAGGAGGCCAGGAAGGATTGCCCCCTTAGCTCATTGTTCTCCCCATGTACTGGCCCATTCCCTCAGCCAGATGGGGCAGCCTGTACTAGAAAGCAGATGGAAAGCACAGCTGAGACCAGAAGAGAGCCAGCTGTTTGATCCGAGGCTGCTTTCAGAATGGCAGCTTTTGCAGGCTTCTAGGTAGGAGCACAGTCTAAACATACCCTTCATGGCATCTGGGAATCAAAACAGCAGAGTCCACAGGCTGATTTGGGTCTGCTGTCTGATCAGTCTGCATTTGCAAGCAAAATTAAGACTCAATTATCTTTTTGTTCTAACCTAAGATGGAAAAAATATTAGTATAATCCTTCCAACAAGCTACAGATTATGTTTCTTCTTTACCTGATCAAAGCTTTGATTCTCAGCAAGAATAATTTCATAGCCCTTTTCGAAGTAAAAAAAAATGTTTTGCTGAGTGGCACAATGGTCTTGTGAGAAGGCAGGCTTGAAGAAGAAGAGCTGGTTTTATACCCTGCCCTTCAGTACCTGAAGGAATCTTAGAGCGGCTTACAATCACCTTCCCTTCCTCTTCTCATAACAGACACCCTGTGAGGTAAGTGGGGCTGAGAGAGCTCTGAGAGAACTGTGACTGACCCAAGGTCACCCAGCTGGCTTCATGTGGAGAAGTGGGGAATCAAACCCGGTTCTACGGATTAGAGTCTTGCTGCTCTTAACCACTACACCAAACTGGCTCTCAGTTGAGAGAGAGTGATTATTCAAGGAAAGCCTAACCCACCTGGTCTGAATAATTTTAAGCGAGTTTATTTGAAAGTGGTTTTGTGGATCATTCTTTTGTCTCACAGTGCCTGCGGGTTTTTAACAAATGCAAAAGCTTGAAAAACCTTTGTGACTGATGCAAAAGTGATGTGAGTGGCCACACAAGAAGCCACAGTCCTTTCAAAATTTCAGATTGCAGTAGAGGGGGGAAACTCTACTTTTTCTCTAGCCTTAGCATCATCTGTGAATCTGGATCTCCCACACAGTGAGACAGAATTCTATACAGTGGTTTAGAATTCCTTTATAATTAATTTCTATAATAACTTTGGTTAGAGCAGTATCACAACACTATGATAATGGACAGAGATCTGGAAGTCATCAAGGAATTGTGATTTTCACTCCTGGCTAATTAATGCCAGGCACATCTATATATTTATACATTTTTATCCCATTTTGTCTCCAAGGAGCCAAAGATTCTCTCCCTCAGTTTTTTCCCTCACAACAACCCTGCAAGGTAGGTCAGGCAAAATGTGTGAATGACTGGCCTAAGATTAATGAGTAGGGATTTGAACCCAGGTCTTCGTCTGACATTCTAACAACTCCATCACATTCATACATAACACCATGCCTATAGAGATAATATTGCTGAGGTATTCCCTAATAATCACAGATATAAAATCATTCGTTAAGTTACATTCATTCTGTGCCCCCTAAAAGGTCATGGTAGTTTCTAATACAGTTCATAAAGGTGCATAAGGAAGGTGATTAACCACAGTCTTACCTGACACAAGATATCTTTGATGTATCTTCCACACAACTCGTACGCCTGGGGATCAATGTAATCCATGATCTCCCAGTATTTGGCTGCAATGACATTGTCCTTTTCCTGGTCACAACAGCCAAATGTCTCATAGGCAGAACAAAACTCCAGGTGAAAGGGAGGCTGGAAAGGAGGGCCATAATCAAGGCACTGAGGGTGCCCCAGAAGTACCCCTGCTTGGTACAACAAGCCAAAGGACAGGCAGAGGAGAAAACTGGAGGAACTAAAAGAAATCTTGCCGCTTTTGCTCTTGTGCACGCCACTAGGAACTTTCTTCAGTGGAGGTTTCCTGAGGTGTGAAGTAGCAGAGATGTGACCACTTAGAAGATTAAGGCTATTCATCTTCTGAGCTTTTAAATGTCCCAGCAGCACTGAGCTCGATGTTTGCTTACTTACTCTCTCATGCTCACTCCCCATTTGCTCTACTGGTGAGCTGAGAAACAAATCTTCCAGACAGCCTCTGCATCTCCACGCCTCGCACTGCAGAAGCCTTTCCCCGCCCCCTTTGTGTGAATCTCTCTGACCCCTTGAAGAGTCCAGAGGGAGGCAGAGGCCACCTGGTAACTTATGCTAAAGAAGTGATAAAACAGTCTCAAAAGTATTCATAAACTGCAAAATGCTCTAAGCACTCTGCAATTAGTGATCTGTAGTTACAGAAAATGACAATTTTCCCCTCATTCACAAAGTAAATCATTCCGTAAGTCAGCAAATAGTAAGGAAGATTAATCATTTTTATCCATTACATACCCACTCTAGTTAAACTCATCAGATTGAGTTCTAAAGAAGTGAAGCAGGATTTTCCCTCTGCCTGTTCGTAAGTATTATGTGAAAATTCAAATAGGATGATGGTGATCAGCAATTTATATGTTGCCCAGTAACGTGTTTCCTATTGCAATAGAATGTGCTTCACATAATTTAATATAGTTCTCCTCACAATGATATTTTTAAATGACAGACTTCATACTACCCACTGAAAACTGAGACATATGAAGTGGTTTAAAGGTAAAGGTAAAGGTTCCCTTGCTCGAAAGCCAGTCGAATCCGACTCTAGGGTTGCGGTGCTCATCTCCGTTTCAAAGCCGAAGAGCCAGCGCTGTCCGAAGACGTTTCCGTGGTCATGTGGCCGGCATGACTAAACACCAAGGCGCACGGAACGCTGTTACCTTCCCACCGAAGTGGTCCCTATTTATCTACTTGCAATTTCTTGCTTTCGAACTGCTAGGTTGGCAGGAGCTGGAGCTAGAGACAGGAGCTCACCCTGTCTTGCGGCACCCGGGTCTTGAACTGCCGAACTACTGACCTTCCACAGCCTGCAGTTCAACGTCTTAACCACTTGAGCCACTGCAGCTCCATGAAGTGGTTTGCCATAGTTTAATTAATAAATCTGTAAAATGTTAAATTACACATTTATGTCATAGAATTCCCTATATCTTGCTGATTTATTTATTTATTTTTGCCAGGTTGGACACAGCATAGTAGAAGTAATCAGGACTGAGAGAGACAGAGAGGGAGGGAGAGATTAACATAGTTACAATCTAGGATTGCCAACCTCCAGGTGGTGCCTGGAGATCTCCCAAAATTACAACCGCTTTCCAAATGAAAAAGAGCAGTTCATCCAGGACAAAACAGCTGCTTTGGAGGACAGATTGTGTAGTGTTCTATCCCACGGAGGCTGCTCCCCAGATTCCACTCCCCAAATCTCCGGGAATTTTCCAACTCAAAGTTGGCAGCCCCATGGAGGGAGTATCACAAAATAGTTTTGTTTTCTACCCCAAAAGTGTTACTTTCAGCCTGAAAATAAAAGCAGGTCAACATTCAGCCAAAGCGTTTGAACATGAATTGATTCCATAAAGATAGATTCAGGTGGGTAGCCATGTTGGTCTGAGGCAACAGAACAAAGGTTGAGTCCAGTGGCAGCTTGAAGACCAACGAAGTTTAACTCTGGGTATAAGCTTTAGTGTGCACGCACACTTCATCAAATACATTGAAACAGACTTCGCCAACCATTACATGGGGGAGGTTTAGTTGCCAAGAAGGGCTAATTGGAGTCAAGATGAATAAGTAACTGAAGTAACTGCTTTAATCCAGTCTTAGCTATACTTATCGCTCATCTTGATTCCAATTAGCCCTTCCTAGCATTTAACACACACACCCATCTATATCTAATGGTTGGTGAAGTCTGTTTCAATTTATTTATTTATTTATTTCAATGTACCTGATGAAGTGTGCATGAACATGAAAACTTATACCCAGAATTAAACTTTGTTGGTCTTAGAAGTGCCACTGGGCTCAAACTTTGTTCTGATTCCATAAAGAATTCTACCTCAGTTGCTCTGTAGTTTTTGTAGTGTTGAACCATCATTGCTATCTCTAATTTGAGCTATCATTTACCCATTATTGGTACCTATTTTACTTTGGGGCCAATCAGCAGAAAAGTGAGAGAGGAGCATCAAGTTTAGGTGTTATTTTTTCTTTTTCACACTTTTTATTCTAAAGGTCATATGTATTAGTTAGTTTTTGTGCTGACCTCAGTTTTGAGCATCCAGGTGCTTTACAAAGCAATCTTATTCAGAGTTATGCTAGTCAAAACCCATTGATTTAAACTGGTTTAGAATGCATAGGTTTAGAACTCTGGTTTAGAACTGATTAAGAGCTCTGCATAGGAGTTTATTCATCATCATCATCATCATCATGATTTCTGAATCGCCCAATCCCTGAGTACACAGAGCTCTGGGACATTTACAACAGATTAAAACATACAAAAATACAGATTAAAATCAACAAACAGTTTATCTTAATTTCACAATCCCCAGATGGTGTCTATAATTTAACTTAAAAACCTCCTCTGGACTGTTCTTCCATCTTATTGTGCCACTATGGCCCTTTCCCAAGGCAGGGAGTTTCAGTTTGCTGTCTGCTGCACTGTAGCGCTACCAGTGTATATGAAGACACAATGACATTGTAGCTATCAACCTAGCAGAGATCAGATGACCAAAGGGGCCAATAGGCGTCCATCTGCTCCTATAAAGGTTCTGCCTCAAGCTTGGCTCATCAGATGGGCAATTTGTTGCTTGGGTACAATCTGAATCCCCACCTCCACACACACCCCATTGGATTGTCTTCTTGCTTTGTTGTTGTTGTTCAGTCGCACAGTCAAGTCCAACTCTTTGTGACCCCATGGACCACAGCACACCGGGCCCTCCTGTCTTCCACTGTCCTCTGGAGTTTGCTCAATTTTATGTTTGTTGCATCGGTAACACTATCTAGCCATCTCATCCTTTGCCGTCCCCTTCTGTTACCTTCAATCTTTCCCAGCATCAGGGTCTTCTCCAGTGAGTGTTCCCTTCTCATTTGGTGGCCAAAGTATTTGAGCTTCCGCTTCAGGATCTGTCCTTCCAGGGAACAGTCAGGGTTGATTTCCTTTAGGATTGACTGATTTGATCTCCTTGCAGTCCAAGGAACTGTCAAGAGTCTTCTCCAGCACCATAATTCGAAAGAATCTATTCTTTGGCACTCGGCCTTATGGTCCAACTCGCAACCATACATTACTACTGGGAATACCATTGCTTTGACCATACAGACTTTTGTTGGTTGGGTGATGTCTCTACTTTTTATTATGCTGTATAGGTTTGCTATCACTTTCCTCCCAAGGAGCAAGTGTCTTTTAATTTCATGGCTGCAGTCACTGTATGCAGTGATCTTGGATCCCAGAAACGTGAATTCTGTCACTGCTTCCATGACTTCCCCTTCTATTTGCCAAGGCGTGATGAGGCCAGATGCCATGATCTTAGTTGTTTTGATGTTGAGTTTCAAGCCAACTTTTGTGCTCTCCTCTTTCACCCTGAGCAAGAAGCTCTTTAGGTCCTCTTAACTTTCTGCCATTAGAGTGGTATCGTTAATCATTTGCATATCTGAGGTTGTTGATGTTTTTCCCGGCAATCTTAATTCCGGCTTGTGATTCATCCAGGCCACCATTTTGCATGATGTACTCGATATATAAATTAAATTAGCAGGGTGACAATATACATCCTTGTCGTACTCCTTTTCCTATTCTAAATCAGTTATTCCATGTCCGGTTCTAACTGTTGCTTCTTGACCCTTATACAGGTTTCTCAGGAGACATGTGAGGTGGTCTGGCACTCCCATCTCTTTAAGGACTTGCCACAGTTTGTTATGGCCCACACAATCAAAGGCTTTAGTGTAGTCAATGAAGCAGAAGTAGATGTTTTTCTGGTACTCCCTTGCTTTCTCCATAATCCAGCGAATGT